AGAGAAATGTTATTCTTGTTGAAATCACAACTGGTGAATATCGCTAAAATCCCTTTTATACCTCTTAAAACTGATCCAAATACAATTTCATTTAAAAGGACTCAATTCCCAATTAGATCGTGCTTTGCAATGACAATAAATAAAACCCAAGGTCAAACACTTGATTTTGTTGGTTTGTATATTCCAGAACCAATTTTTTGCCATGGTCAATTATATGTAGTATTATCGAGAGCAAAAATAAGCAGATCTCTGAAAGTTCTATTGAAACCGTCGAACACAGATGATACGCACAACTCATGTACTGAAAATCTTGTGTATAAGGAAGTTCTTTCGTTTGTACATTCATAGAACTACAACTTTCTCATAGGTATATGTTCAATTTATTGCAATTTCCCTCTTTGTCTATGCCTTCCCCGATGGCTCTACTAAATGAAATGATAATTTTTTCAACTACAATGCAAATATTATATTAATTTAACTGAGTTTTTTTCACTGTCACTTTATGAAATTTAACATTTCATTCAGTTCAAAGTCGAAATTATGATTGTACATTTGTTTTATTGATTTTCATATTTTGCATATTGCAACAACTATCAGTGAAAATTCAGACGAGACGAGATAATAGCTTTTTTGTTGCTCGTGCCAAACATCAGGTACACTTCCATAGTTCTAATCTAGCCGAATTTTAATTCGATCTTACAGATTTCATTTAAATTCATAATAGTCAAATCTTTATGAAAAAAGAATCCATCTAAGTACGTTATAAAATTTTATGTCTTCAACCCTATAATATCAATTGCTGATGTGAATTTCTTAAATGCAACGATTGAAGTAAATGTTTCAGCTATAACCGTTTGTGTGAGGATTCAACTTAAATTAACATCAGCTCAAACACAACAAACCTAAAATGCAAACACAAGATGCAAAACACAAATGCTCAACTATCCACAAGCATGAAAGAAATCACTACGCCTTTTGCAGAAAGATCTCTCTTCCAAACAGTAGCTAAAAACATTGAAACAGAGTTGAAGGCTATCAATCGGATCTTCTATACAATTCTTTCGGGTCTTCTATATATGTGTTGTGTACATTCCCAGTTAGAGTCGAAAATTTTAAATTTTTGTGTCATTGTACTTCAATTATTGCTGTTTTTGTCCATTTTTTCTGTATATATATAACTTTTATTAGATGGAATAATAATACTCGTGCTATCCTAATTACAATTTGCAGAGAGGCGTCGAAATTATTTAACTTAGGGATAGCTGTGTAATTCGTTATTGGTGGCAACAACAACGTATAATGGTTGAAGAAATATCTACTTTCATATGCTTTTTTCTCCTTTTTTTTTGTTTTTTTTTGTTTTTAGTTTGGATATTCATTTGTTATATTGGAATTGTGAAAATGGTTGAGATTTTCATTATATTTTTTAGGGATTGGTTGAGGTTTGGAAGTTCCGAAGTTCGAAATTAAATTGAGTTCGTTTCATTTAAAATTATAATATAATGTTAATACTTATTTTTTCTTTCCCTTTTTGGATGTGCTATGGATGCATATTAAAATTAAATGTATGCCAGTAGACGTTGATGTTTTTGTGCAACAATATATGTATTGAAAGAAGATATATGCATTAGAAGAAGATATGTGTATTAGTGTAATGAATGCACAATCATTTCTTGAAGAACATTATGTTTAAGTTAAGATAAGAAATAATGTAGTATTCTTCATTTGTATAGAATTAAAATTATTTAAATGTGGATGGAATATATAAGTACATAAGAAAAGTAAATGAAGTTTGATTGAGTAATAACAAATTAGATTAACATGAAAATTGCAGGAAAACATTATCCCTATATACAAAAACAACTAAAACTTAAAACGAGCTAAAATGTGTCATAAAGTAAAAGCCAAAAAAAATTAAAAAATCTAATAGTCGTGTCAAATTTCCATCGGTGTGGGTTTTTTTATAGATCAACAATATCGGATATTCGTTGTTCAATAGTTCAAAGACGCATGTATCACCCATTTATATTTCCTTTTTTTTTTTAAATGTGCCTAGCCTATAGTAAGACAGTGTATTATACCAGTTGGTCTTAAATTTGTGGTGATATCCCAATTTCAATGTAAAAGTCATGGATCTGAACACTGTGCACAAATTTTGGAAGATGCTGCCTGGCAAATCTTCTCGGTATAGACTGCAAAATCATTAACGAATCACTAATCTTGAGGTCATAATTATGTGGAAGAGACGAATATAGAATGAAATATTAAAACATAAACATGAAAATTTTTCGATGGCTGTTTTGACAGGGCGTTAATGTCACTTCAAATATAGGATAATCTGTGTTTGAAGTGTTGCCTTCTTCACTTTCTTCAGGAACGTTTGAGTCATATTTCACTTCTAACCCAAAATCATCAAATATGGTCATGTTGAATGTAAAATTTCGGTATACTCAAATACCAGACCATAACCATCCTATCAATTGTGATGGTCGAAAAATTACTCCCATCCGTCATTTAAATATATTTTCCTATTAATTCTTTCTAATATGATAGTCTCAATTATACCATCGTATGCAATTACGTGAGCTGTATTGCCAAATCATGTCTTCAGTCATTCACAAAAGATCTAGGAATCATCTATATATATATATGTAAGAAAAATATAAGTACAATATTAGTAAAACATTTATTAAAATATAAAAGAAGAAATTATTGTATGACTAACTAGACTGATGCCGTGATTTAGCGAATTAGTGATGATTATGTAGAAACGACGTGGTACGTCTATTTTGATACAATGCATTAAAACAACTTTCACAAGAATAATATTTTTTGTATTTTTTTTTAATATCAATGAGTGAGTAAATTTTTAAATGGAATTTGCATATAAGTTAAACTTTGTATGTATTTGTATACAATATTATAGCAAAAAGAATAACAAATTGTGTGCATCTAAAGATTTTTAGGTAGAAGTCAGTCAATCCTCGAAAAGTTTAAACTTAAAACTACAAAATTCAGTTTTGAAAAAGTAAATAAATAAAACACCTGTTTGAGTGAAGCACCAGCAAGTCTCAAGTAAGATATTCAAATTTTGAAGGCGAAAAACTATTGTAAGTAAATATTAAAAACACAGGAAACTATTTAAGCTAAACAAAATCTACTTTTATTTCTTAAATAGATTTGACAAGAGGTTCACAAATAGTGATGAATATATGTCTCATGACTTTCATACATTTCTTCAGACTAAAGGCATTGTTTCTCAGCGCTCTTGTTCTCATACACCTCAACAAAATGGTATTGCTGAACGTAAAAATCGTCATCTACTAGATGTAGTTCGTACGTTATTACTTGAATCTTTTGTTCCTCCTAAATTTTGGGTAGAAGCCTTATCTACAGCAGTTTATTTAATTAATAGATTACCTTCTAAAGCCTTGAATTTTGACACTCCTTACCATCGACTGTATCATCGGCATCCTCACTATCTTGATATGCATACTTTTGGGTGTGTATGTTTTGTACATTTGTCACCTCATGAACGCAATAAATTATATGCTCAATCTGTTAGATGTGCTTTCATAGGTTATAGTACTCTCACAAAGGTTATGTTTGCTATGATCCATGCTCTAAAAAATTTCTCTCTCATCATGTTGTATTCTTTGAAAATTAATATTTCATTTCCACGCATGTTGAGCCTTTGCTTGAGATACATGCTTTTCCTCATTTTGATGACTTGCCTTCTACTCCTGAATGATTCAAACTTGGATTGGTGTATGAAAGATGACGGCCGACTTTACCCCTTCCTGGGCTCGACCCGGCATCTAAACCTATCTCAACTGTCCATTCTATTATGGATCCAACGTCTGCGCTAACTCCGACTATGCTTTCGGTGGATGATCAGGAATCTGTCACTATTCCTCGCCGCTCTACTAGAATTTCTTATCCTCCTTATCGGTATGGTTTTTCTCATACATCACATCATACTACTTTGTCCTCTATCCCCATTCCTTCATGTTATTCCAAAGCTGTTAAGCAAGCCATGGCAGATAAACTTCAGGCTCTCCAGGACAATCATACTTGGGATGTCGTTCCTTGTCTTGCTAATGTTAACGCCATTGGCTGTAAGTGGGTTTATTCGACCAAACTTCGTTCTGATGGCCCTTTAGATCATTATAAGGCACGATTGGTAGCCCTTGGGAATAGACAAGAGTATGGAGTGGATTATGAAGAGATGTTTACCCCAGTTGTCAAAATGACTACGGTTCGGACTATTATCTCTATTGCTGCTTCACAAGGTTGGCCACTTCATCAAATGAATGTCAAAAATGTCTTTCTTCACGGTGATCTTAAAGAAGAAATTTACATGGCACTACCTCTTTGGCTGACTACTACTCATCCCTCGAATGTCTGCAAGTTGAAACGCTCATTATATGGGTTGAAATGAACTCCATGGGCCTGGTTTGACAAGTTTTGGACTATCCTACTTCATTTTTCATTTCAGCAAAGCCAATATGATTCTTCCTTGTTCCTTTGCCAGACTTCTAGTGGCATTGTCCTTCTCCTTGCCTATGTAGATGATATTGTTATTATAGGGAGAGATTCCTCAGTAATTACTTCTTTACAGAAACATCTTCAGACTTTATTCCATATGAAGGACCTTGGTCCTCTTACGTACATCTTGGGGTTAGAAGTTCACACCGATCCTTTTGGTATATTCGTAAGTCAACATAAGTACACACAGGATTTGATTCTGTTGGCTAATCTCCTGGATTTATTGACACACCCCGCCCCGTGTAACACTACTGGATTCGGATGTGGCATACGCCAATGATAGATACCAACTAAAAGTCGGACCCACCATCAAGGCTACTACAAGTACAATATTCACTTTTTATACATAATTTTTCTAACAGAATTTCGACATTATCTTCCTTGTAAACAAGACTAACCAACCTGTGATCAATTTCACACAAATCCTAAATTATAATACAACACAATAAAGATAAGCCGAAACCTCAACTTTTACCAAGAAATAAAATGAAATGTACACATGGATACAAAATATATAGTGAGCCTTATAACTATCTACAAGTAATGCAAAATCACATCTAGACATGAACATACGTCCCAAAACACTGACTACATGTTCTATGAAGTGAGTCATACTAACAAACTCTGTCGTGTGGCACTGACTCCAAAATCAAAACTCAACTCCAAAAGATGCCCAGATTCTCAACTGCTACCTGATAAGGAAAAACGTGGAAAAATATTTGAGTTGCTAGCTCAGTAAGTGGAGAAATTCAAAACAAATATAATTGTTCATTTATACATTTTGATTGAAAATCAAATTTATATCATTTGATAATTCACAAGCTTCCATCATGTAATTATAGCCAAAAAGTGAAATATTCACATAAGATCATAAAATATCATCTTAAAATCATGATATGAATATCAGCTGATAACCATGCTATAATCTCATCACTTCAAACGTACTGAAAAATTCACCAAAAATGTACCCTCTGACTGAAATATATAATCCGTCCCTCAGGTTAAGAACTTTCGCCACGGGCCTTTGTTCCCCTCCGTGAACAAAAAGTTGGTCTCAAGACCTCTCATAATTAATTCTAAAACACGACCAAGACCCCTCTGTGAACTATATGTACACGATCAAGACCAATGTCAGGTCAAAACCCTCCGTGTAGCATAGAACACGGGCAAAGCCCCTTTGTGAACTAGAAGAAATATATAATCATGAGTACTTTTCTAGTCGATCTCAATATCATATCTCATATTCCAATTCACAATGTACTATGTACAATCTTTGAAATCCCAATGTAGCATAATAAAATATATTTATGTAATAATCATAAAATCGAACGCATAATTGAACATACTTTACTAATGTACTTAATTTATAAATACTTTAAAAATATTTATATTTTTCCACTCACAAAACTATATACGCCAAAATCAACTCGATCAGTAAGCTGTTCCGATGTCCGTATCGCAGCCTGAAATATAATATAATTTTTAAATCAACAATTAACTATTTTAAGTAATTTCAATAATTAAATAGGCGATACCAAAACTTAATTATTTTACGTTTAGGCGATTTCTAAAGTCTCTTTATTACTAAAACTAATTTTTCTTTCATTTTACTCAATTTTCTAGTTTATCATACTTAACCCTTTCAATAAAATTGAATTTAATTTAACAATCTAACAACTGTAAAATCATACATAACCTTTCAATAAGTAACTTTTTAATTACCTTTCAAAATTAAGGAATTCAAGCCTCATAGTATAGAACACTTAATTCCTAATACGTTGACGAATTTTTTCTATTTTTTCCTTTCTTCTCTTCCTCTTTTCATCTTTTTTTTTTCCCATTCTTTTTCCTTTCTCTTTCTCTTCCTGCTCAAGAGCTTTCTTGGTGTGTGTAGTGTGTGTGTGTTATGGATTTGAATTACAC